AACTCAGGGAAACACTTACTTACGTTTACTGGTTTATTATAAAGGATATAAGAAAGGATACGTATGAAGAGCTGCATAGGGTGAGGTATGGGGGACAGGGCGTGGAGCCTCCAAGCCCTCCCTTTGCCACCCTCCAGGAACCTCCACGTGTTCAGCTATCCAGAAGCTCTCTGAACCCAGTTCTTCTGGGTTTTTATAGAAGCTTCATTACATAGGCATGATTGATTAAACCATTGGCCATTAGCGATCAACTTAACCTTAAACCCCTCTCCCCTCCCTGGAGGTTGAGGGTGGGTCTGAAAGTCCTGCTTTATTCTTTCCTGTAACCAGCCCCCATCCTGAAGCTACCAAGGGGTGCCAGCCTTTGGCCAACTCATTAGTATCCAAAAAGTTACCACTTTGGAGATTCTAAGAATTTTAGAAGTTATGTCAGGAAAGGGAGAGGAACTATAAGAAGACCAAATATATGCTGTATTTCAAAATATCACTCTCTTAAATGTGGCTTTGAAAAACACATAGGTGGGTCATGAAATCGATGTAGAGTGGTGACTGGTTTTTGATAAGAAAGGGATAGAATACAATAGAAAGTATCAGCCACCTATAATCTTATGTACACCCTGAATAATAAAGATGTTACTATTCTGTGAAACTTTTTTTCCATTATGGATTTATGTAGAGGGTACTGAGTTACCATGTAGATTGTTCCTTTTTTCTTTTTTTTGTGGCTGGCCAGCACGGGGATCTGAACCCGTGACCCTGGTGTTATAAGCCTGTGCTCTAACCAACTGACCTAACTGGCCAGCCCAAGATTATGTTTCTTAATGTGGGTTATAGTCAAGTATTTGAAGAACACTGTAATATGTAGGAGTATTATTTTTGAATTTAAAAACAATATATGTTCTTTTTAAAAAATTATAAAAGAATTTTATAGCTAGGTCCTTCCTAAGTGTATTAATTTCCAGTGGCTGCCATAACACATTGCCACAAACCAGTGATGTAAAACAACAGAAATTTATTCTCTCAAAGTTCTGGAGGCCAGAAGTCTGCAATCAAGGTGTTGGCAGGGCCGTACTCCCTCCAAAGGCTCTAGGCGAGAATCTGTTCCTTGCCTTTTCTGACTTATGGTTGCCGTTGGCATTTCTTGGAGTTTTTTGGCTCGTACCTTGGCATTACATCAATCTCTACCTCTATTCTCACATCACTTTCTCCTGCATCTTCTTTCCTGGCTCAAATTTCCCTCTGCCTTTCTCTTAAAAAGAAACTTGTCATTGGATTTAGGGCCCATCTAGATAATCTAGGATGATCTTCTTATCTCAGTACCCATAATTATATCTGCAAAACCCTTTTTCTAAATAAGGTAATGTTCACAGATTCTGGGGATTAGAACATGGACATCTCTTTTGGGGGGCCACCTTTCAACCCACTACACTAAGTGAAGAATGAAGTATTGATCTCTACACCCTCCAACACTCTGCCCAGGGTCAGCACTGTTAGTACTAAATAGGGAAGTCTAAGCAGTGAAGAGACAAGCTGAACATGAGTTCCAAGCTAGAAGAGGAAAAGGTGATGACCAAGCATAAAAATGGTTAGATAAACTCATGAGAGGTTAATGTCCTCACTGGTATACTACGGAGCAGGTTGCCATGTCTTCCCTGCATGGCGAAGGCCGTCTATTCCCCAGAACTATGGTAAAATTCTTCAGTGTCCTCATGTTGTTTCTCACTTTGTCCTGCAGGTCCGTGAACACCTGATTGGGGCAGGATGTAGGGTGGATATGCCATTCATTTGTTTGTGGTTTCTAAAGCTAAATTCATAATATGCGGGTTGGGGGAATAAGTTGTCAGAGCTTGCCATGTTACGTGCTTGAAAGTGCATAGATTTGCCATCAGTACACCCACTAGTCACCTCCAGTGACTTTGAGGCCAGGAGGCTTACTTGCCGGCTGGTCTCCATGGAAAGGTCTCCAGGAAGCCAGCACAGAATTGGGGGAATCTCTGCCCATTTTTGAGGCCATCCTTTTTGGTGGAGAGGAATGTTTGTTGTGGTCCTGGGAATCTCCCTATGCTGAGCTCGGGGATAGATTGTGACTGACAGACCAGGCTGGGATAGATGGCCATTATGAAAAGAAATTAGGAAGCTGGTTGTCAGGGTAGGGCTTGCTGTTTTATACACTTGGGAATTTAGAAAGGAATTATTGTACAATTTTAAACTGAGTTTTACTAACTGACCCATCAAGGGACTGTTTGTGGACATGTGATAAGAACAGTTGGGAAGTAGTGTGGAGTTTTTGAAAATCCATTTAAATACTCTTAGTGTTTTCAAGTTTCCTAGAAATCAATGTTCTACATGTATCCCACAAATCCCCAATGAAAAGTACTCATTGCAAGTTAAAAAACAACAGAAACAAACAAAACCAGACAATAGAAATCCCAGTATTCCCATCAACCAAAGAAAGCCCCTAAAAGCATTTTGTGTAATCCTCTAGTGGTATATTTCTGTCTTCATCTAAAGTGCTTTCATTTGAACAAGCCAGCATTACTGCTGAAATGTTCATTTCTGTAATGACCCTTGTCTGTCTTGTACAGGAACCAACAGATCTGCTAAAGGAAGGAGCCTTATTGGTAAGATTGATGGTTCATCTCATGTCACTGGAAAAGGAGTCACAGTACAACCAGGCTTTTCTGTGGATGAGTTTTCTGCATCGGTCCTCACTGGAAAACTGACTACTGTCTTTCTTCCAATTGTCTACATAATTGTATTTGTGGTTGGTTTGCCAAGTAATGGCATGGCCCTGTGGGTCTTTCTTTTCCGAACAAAGAAGAAACACCCCGCTGTGATTTACATGGCCAATCTGGCCTTGGCAGACCTCCTCTCTGTCATCTGGTTCCCCTTGAAGATTGCCTACCACATTCATGGCAACAACTGGATTTACGGGGAAGCTCTATGCAAGGTGCTCATTGGCTTTTTCTACGGCAACATGTACTGTTCCATTCTCTTCATGACCTGCCTTAGCGTGCAGAGGTATTGGGTCATTGTGAACCCCCTAGTGCACCCCAGGAAGAAGGCAAACATTGCCATCTGTGTGTCCTTGGGAATATGGTTGTTGATTCTGCTGGTCTCCATCCCCCTGTATGTCGTGAAGCAGACCACGCACATTCCAGCCCTTAACATCACAACCTGTCATGATGTTCTGCCTGAGGATGTGTTGGTGGGAGACATGTTCAATTACTTCCTCTCTCTGGCCATTGGAGTCTTTCTGTTCCCAGCCTTCCTCACAGCATCTGCCTACGTGCTGATGATCAGAACACTGCGATCTTCTGCCATGGATGAGAACTCGGAAAAGAAAAGACAGAGAGCCATCAAACTCATTGTCACCGTCCTGGCCATGTACCTGATCTGCTTCACTCCTAGTAACCTTCTGCTCGTGGTGCATTATTTCCTGATTAAAAGCCAGGGCCAGAGTCATGTCTATGCCCTGTACATCATAACCCTGTGCCTCTCTACCCTCAACAGCTGCATTGACCCATTTGTCTATTACTTCGTTTCACAAGATTTCAGGGATCATGCAAAGAACGCTCTCCTCTGTCGAAGCGTCCGTACTGTAAAGCAGATGCAAGTATCACTCACCTCTAAGAAATTCTCTAGGAAATCCAGTTCTTACTCTTCAAGTTCGACCAGCATTAAACCCTCCTATTGAGTTTTATAGCTTCTCAGGTGGAAGTTTTACAGCAGGATTTGGAGCCTGCTTAATGTTCTGGGGACATGTCTGTTATTTCCAAGCAGGACTTACCACATACCATAGACATGCAGCACCTCTCAGGATTGCTAGAAGTTTCCCTGTTTGCATAAGAAAAGCCCCCCAAATTGACACAGATGTCAGGTTCAGAATCCTTTACTCAGATGCTCCCAGAAACTGAACTCTGAGAGAAGCAGACTTTTTCAGTAGGTGGCAAAAGGACAGAAACCTTGTGATTTGCAAAAATTAGACTTGGCACGAAGACCGTTTTTAGCTGAAACTCTATTACTTTTACCTCTGGGGTCAATCATAGCCTTGTTAGGGCCCTTAGGTGGCAAAAGGACAGAAACCTTGTGATTTGCAAAAATTAGACTTGGCACGAAGACTGTTTTTAGCTGAAACTCTATTACTTTTACCTCTGGGGTCAATCATAGCCTTGTTAGGGCCCTCAGAGATGATTTCCCAAATGAGGAAGCTAGAGAGGTAGATGAGCTGCCCAGAGCAGGTTTCCAACCAATAGCAGTGAGTTTGGATTGAGTAGTAGACTTCAGATGTTCAATGAGTAGGGTTCTTGGACCACTTCATCAGAATCATTGTGGGTCTTGTTAGAAATGCAGGTTCCTCAGATTTAGTGATGAGAAAGGCTCTGGGAAAAGGGCCCAGAGATCTGCACGTTACAAGCCTGTGTGATATTTATGCACACAAAGGTTTGATAACCGCTGGTCTGAGTTCTGCTTCCACTTGACAAGATGCCATAATAGTTTTTGAAAAGAAAGCAAACAGGAATGTTTCGTATCACTTTTATGTTCAGCTCATAACGAAATCTGTTTGTTGAGTTATTGGGACTTTCAATTTATTAATCCTTTGAGCTTTTGCATGTATCATTATTCAAGAAAAATACAATGAGGATTTTTAAATGTGTAAGTACAAATTTTATATAATTTTTACTGACTTCAGTGAAATTTTCAGTAGTCCGTGTAATAGACTGTTTTGCAACTAACATTTACCACTTAGTATTTTGAAAATGATTGTTGGAATATTTATTGTCAGTTTTGTTCGCTTATTATCAAATACGAAATTATAAAACCTTCCCAGGGTTTGAACCATATCTGTTTAGAAAATAGCAGTGAAGTAGATGGATTTGCCACAAATTTAACAGGTAGTTGACTTCAAACTGACTTTATACAAATGTTGTATTTGTGACTTTTTAAAGTAATTATTTTATTGAATGTTGGATTTATAAATAATCATGACTTTTTTATAACTTATTTCTAAGTTGTGTGTTTTTTTGAAGGAGGGAGTGGGAAAAGTTAAGCAACAGCATCATTCTTTCTTCTAAAAGGAAATGATGTGATGCTCATGTCATATTTTTTACATAAATGAGGCCATACTATACATATTGCTCTGTGACAACTCTTTTCCATTTAACAATATGTTTTAGAATTCTTTCCATGCCTGCATCTATAGGCCAATCTCCATTTTTAAAGGATACAGACTATTTAATATTTTGGATATATTGTGATGTATTTAATCATTTCCCTACCCATGGTTCCTTAAGTCCCCCCCATCCCCCTTTGACTGTTAAAACTTTGCTACATTGAACAATCTGTAATCTAATGGAAAAAAAAATGTGACTAGACAACTTTTGAGAGTATTTTTGTAGGATAAGTTTTTAGAAGTACAATGGCCAGGTCAAAAGTTAGATGGCTATTCTAAATTTTGATAACTCTTGCCAAATTGCCTTCAAAAATTTATACTTCTACCAATATAGTACATTTGCACCTGTTTCCTGAAATGCTTATCTACACTCAGTGCCATCAGTCTTTTGAAATTCTGCCAATCTGAGTGAGAGAAAAAAAGATGTTTCAATGCTGTTTTAATTTGTATTAAAGAAACAGCACAGCTTAGGGCTAAGTGCAAATTCCTGAGCTAGTCTGAATTCTGACTCCATTACTTCTTCCATTAGGGAAGTTTTTGTTACCTCAGCAAAGACTGAAGTTTCTTCATTTGTAGAATGAGGATGATAGTACCTTCTTCATAAAAGTTATGAGGCTAAAGTACTTGGCACACTTATGCACTCAAATATTATGTAGCATTATTACTGTTCTCTGATTGCTGATACCTCCTTTCTGCTCTCTGCCCTTTTTTTTATGTCTGTGTCACTTTACGCCTTGCTTTAGTTTTGGGGGTGGCTGGCCAGTACCAGGATCTGGATCCTAACCTGCAAACCTTGGTGTTATAAGGCTGTGTCCTAACCAACTAAGCTAACTTGCCAGCCCACACCTTGCTTTCTTTACTTGCTCTTCTTTGAGTCTCATAGCAGGCCTGTGAGGTTGTCCCATTTTACAGATGAGAAATTGAAAGATGGTGGACTCGGGCTAAAAGGGCCGGTAACAAATGGTCCACAGGGGCCCTGCAGGCCATCTATGGGCTGATTCAGTGGAAAATTTTTTTTTGATATTTGCCATTTCCTTATTAGTTATTTTATAATCCATGTGAATATTGATGGTTAAAAAAAAAAGAAAATGAACAAAATATATAAAATTAAAAAATTTCTTCTTTGCTACTCATACCCAGTCTCATCTCCCAAACAGAATTTTTATAATAATTTGTTCATTAAAAAATAGTGTATATTATACTCTTAAAATAAGAATGAATATGTATGTATATATATATATACACACACATATATATTCATATATATGTAAACTTCTAACTCAGTTCATATGACTCGTCCTCATTTTTTAACACATTTCATTCAGTGTTCCTCATTATCTTTAATGACCAGGTAGCATTCCATGGTCTGAATGACCCAAAATTTATTCAAAAGTATCTAATAATGAATAGAATAGGTACTTTTCTTCATTCATTTTCACCAAGACTTTGAATCTATGTTAAAAAGTGTAAAAGAAATGATTTGAGAAATGGAATCATAATAACATTTGCTGAAGCAAAAGCTTTTCATATAATTTTGTTTCTTTTGCCTTTGAGAAGTGGCTGAGAAAATCCCTGGTCTACCTGAATTAGGCCTCTGGAGGTTTGAGGAACTTTGGTGCAAAGTAGAGAGGTTGGATGTGGTCATCTTTGCTCTTGTGTTATATGTTCTAATTTTTCTAAACTATCTGAGTCCTAAAATATCTGAAAATTTGAATATTTTGTACACCACTGGATTGTTTGCTAAAATGGGTGCCCTCTTAATTTGAAAGTGAATGCAGATTTGCTGTCCTGCTGTTCAGGACACAAATGCTAAACTGACTTGATTGAAATAGTTTTACTGTGTTTCCTTGTGGTCTCTTCCGGTTGCTTACTGCTGCAGTTTCAAACTGGTTATCAAGATTTTATTAAACCTGGGGCTGTATTCTCATCAGTATGCATAGTTTAGTGATTACAACTTTGTTCCTGAAACTTTAACTCTTTGCAGGCCCTTGAAATGATAAGAATATATACAGAATCAAAGGTAATCACTGCTGTCCCCTGGGTCTTGTTGATTAAGGTTATGGGTTTTTGCTGCAGAGTTTGGATGTCTTCTCAAAGAGAAGGCTCTGGTTTCACAATAGTCAAAGGCATGTGTCCAGTCCTCCTCTGACCCCCAGTTCTGAAGACAAAAACAACTTTAGGGATCAGGGATCTCTATATTGTCTTCAAGTTTTAAACTTCACTGAGATATTTGTTCCATTTAAATGTAAATAATTTTGGAGTCACTCAGACACAACTTGGACATGTATTTATTGTAGGAGAGAATGAAGAATTCTGTGGTTTGGGTAGGAGATGCTCTTGATTCTACCGGTTGGTCAGTCTGTGGTCCATTTCCCAGCCTCTGTCTTTGGTGAGAAATTAGGCCTGACCAGAGTTATGGGCCACCTCCTCCTGCAGAAACCACAGCACAAGCCTGTGCACTGCATCAGGAGTTCTAGGCACACAGCAGCAGTGTGAATGGTTCATTCATCCATCCCTCAAATGTTTATTGCAACATTATTGCATTATTAAATGCAAATAATTAAATTAGGACTCCCACTTAGTTGCAAAGTTGATGTTCTCAGTGAAATGCATCAATATATAAGAAATAAAAAAGCCCAAATCCCAGGTATTTGGGCTACTCAAAAGCCTTAAAGCAGAGCCTATTCCAAAGTGAGGTCTTGAGAGTGGCAGAAAGTCAAGGAAAACACAAAGGCCTAGATAGGGCCACTATTGTTGCTTACCCCTCTTAGCACTGCTTTGCCTATATATTTTTTTGTTTTTCTTTTTTGGCAGTTGGCCAGTACAGACATCGAACCCTGGACCTTGGTGTTATCAGCAGTATACTCTAACCACCTAACCAACTGAGCTAAATGGCTAGCCTGCTTACACCTTTTTTAAAAAATAGCTTTAAAAAAAATTATAAAATAAATAAGTGGTTCTTGTTTAAAAAAAATAAATAAGTAAATCAGAGAATGTAAGAACATATGGTGAAAAGTGAACATATCCCCTCCCTACCTACCCACATCAGAACTCGCTCCCTCTGTATATGCTTTGAGATATTTTCTATGCATGTATAAGTACAGGTAGCTATATGCTTTTTTAAAATAAAAGAGAAGTTATACTATGTATTAGTATTTTCTGTGCATGTATAAGTACAGGTACCTATATGCTTTTTTAAAATAAAAGAGGAGTTATACTATGTATTAGTTATATATAGTTATACCTCAAAATTTAGTGGTTTAAAACAACAATAAACATTTACTAACTTGCACGGTTTCTGTGGGTCATGAACTCAGGTGCAGGTTAGCCGGATGGTTCTGGCATGGGATCTCATGAAGTGGCAGTCAGGATCCTGGCTGAAGCTGGAGGATCCACCGCCAGTGTGGCTCGCTCACAGGGCTGGCAAGCTGGTGCTAGGTGTTGGCAGGAAGCCTCAGTTCCTCTCCTTGTGCCTTCTGCACGGGGCTGTTTGAGTGACTCCTAATGTGAAGTTTGGCTTCCCTCAAAATGAGTAATCTGAGAGAACAAAAGGGAAGCTATGCAATGCCTTTTATAACCTAGCCTCAGGGGTCATACACTGTCACCTCCACCTTACACTTGGTCACATAGACTAGCTCCAATTCAGTTTGGTTTGTTTGTTCATTTTCTAGTGGCTGGCTGATACAGAGATCTGAACCCTCGACCTTGGTGTTATAAACACTGCTCAAACCAACTGAGCTAACCAGCCAGCCCCCTCCAATTCAATTTGGAAGGAGAGTATG